TTAATCAAGTTGTAGATACCTAATTCTTCCCATTGCTGGGATTTCTTAGCTTCTACCTTATTGAACCAGTTATGATAAGCAGTGTCGGAGGTGGGGCAAGATCGAAACAGTTTGAAGTTACTCTTTACATAGTCTAATACAAAAGGGTCCTTAGGAGGAACAATTGGATTTTCCACGGTGTTTGAACCAGAAGATTCTATTGCCTTAGGGGCGTCCATTTTATTAAACAGGGGTTTGAAATTATAGCAAACTGGGAAAAATTTTCTGGTGTCTTTTAAAATTTCAAAAACTGTAAGAAGGCCCATTAAAGCTAACCTCTTGTCAGCGGCGGTGGTAGGAATAAGTACCTGGGATGCATAAAGCATTTCTTTCTCTTTTGAGATCATCTGGGGAACAAGAACAGATTTACCTTGGTAAGTGACAACCTTGCTTTCCATTGTAGTTCCTGCGGTCTTTCCTTTCTTTTTGGAAACCTTTTTTAGTTGGGATGAAGTAGAAGAAGACATTGTTGGAAGAATGTTGAAAGCTTAGGGTTTCGGTGAGAAAAGAAGGAGAAAAGATTCAGAATGTGGGAAGAAAAGAAAAAAGACTAAGTTGATGAGTTTTTATAATGTGGAAGTTTAAGCATCCACTGAGTAAGGTTGTAATACGTGGTAATCATGGGTTGGTTTGATGAAGAGGTGGCATAAAGTTAACATTTGTAATAGGAGTGATTAAAGATAATCATTGTTTTGTAACTGCACCATACTGTGAAATGGTTCAAGGCGGTTAAGGAATCTAAAAAGCGTTATGATTGACGTGACTGGAGTCATATGCAATAAATGTTACGATGATTCGAAGGTCGCATCAAAATCTTGTGTATATGTTTAAAATAAGTATTTCTCAAAGGAATCGAAATACATATTTTAAAGGGGCATTTTGTTGGCTGAAGATTTTGATGATATTATTAGAAGCAAAGTAAATTGGACGTTTCGATTGAAATGAAACAGAACGTCATATTTCGAAATAGCAGAAGCAGTGTTTCGAATGGGCATATCAAAGCTTGGAGCTTCGAGTGACAAGTTATGAGAATATATCCAAAGAAGTCTCAAAATGATAACAAGGTTGTATCTAAGGAATGCGCTCGAAGCGAAGAAGTGCCAAAACATTTGAAATTCAAATGCAAGCGGGATGTTCGAAATTTGAAATATATGCGCTGGAGCATTCGAAGACGCGTGGAAGCAAGAGAGAGGCATTGCTCTGCATGTTTTGAACGTGGAAGAATCTTATAGCAAGACCGTTATGGTCGAAGTAGTATAAATAGAAGTCTTAGCATTAGGATTTCGGGTGTCATATCTATTGTACAAAAAAACTCAGTAAACATTCAAATTACCACATGGCTAGGGAAACGAATGCAAGAGCAATGTACGTATGATAACACCACATGTTTATGATTTAATGAAAACCCTTTATCATTTCCAGTACTTTCCTTTACCTTTATATCAATACCATTTACAAGTTTTTGCATTTAAAGTACTTTCATTCGAAATCTTTTCACTGATGCCTTACATTTAAATGCTTTCTTTCCATTTCAAATACTTTACATTTCAGAAACTGTTATACATTTCATGCCTTTATCTTCAAGTTTTTATCCTTCGAACACCTTTTTCACTTAAAGCCATTTTACAATTTTCTTGCATTAAACGCTTTCTTCACATTTCGAATCTTTTACATTAACTGTTTTTTTTTTACGTTTCGAAGTCATTTACTTGTCTTTTATGCAGTTGTTACATGTCTTTACAATTGACCTTTATTCATGCAATTTAGTTTCGCGCACATTTATTTTGATTACACCTTTAGATCCTTAATAGAGAAATCGAAATAAGTTAAACACCTACACAACATTCTAAATACCAACCATGAATACCAGTTCGATCATGAGAGTTACCCTAATGACCAACACGTCCTAGGATCAATCTAGTCGATCCTGCGAGTTACCAGAGAAATTGAATAACAGTCAGTAAGTTTATTCGATAGTTTGGAGGACTAGCGGTTGTTTACCAGAAATCACTGTAAACAATGGGTCATTTCTGATAAAGTATGAGAAAGTTATGCTTGGTCAAAGTTGAGTTGACTTTTCCTACAAAACCCTAATTTAGCAACTTTTGGGTTTTGATGAATTGTGAGCAATCCTTGAGGAATCATGATCAAAACTTGATCAAATGATGAATAATACTTCAAAATGAGTATGTTGACCAAAAATCTTGAAGTTTGACTGTATGTGGGACACAGTTGACTTTTGACCTAGCATAGTTGATTTTCAGGCATTTGAGCAATTGACTGAGCAAACTTCTTCTGCAAGGCTTAAAACTTGACATGGATGATCTTGAGAACATATTAGGACAATGATGATCATTTGAGTCCCTTGTGGTTCACACATATTGATGAAAATAAAAACCCTAATTTGAGGTATACTGCCTTAGGAGAGAGTTTGTCTGGTCAATTCTTGGACTTCCTTGAGCAATTTGGGGACCTCACTTGCCATGTGTTGAGAAATATGGGAGGGCAAATTTTGGGGTACAACACTATGGATTTGAAATTTCTAATTCCCCCTCTTTTTGGTCATCTTCTAAAGACAACTATTCCTCTGGAAGATAGAGAAAACATGCTTATATGGAAACACTCTACATCAAGTGTGCTCACCCTCAAATATGATTACTCTTTTGTTCATACTCCCCCTCAACCTAAATTTTGGACAAAGTATATCTGGAACATAGCCATTCCATCTTCACACTCTACTCTTACTTGGAGAATCATTTACAAGAAAATACCTACAAATATAAGTTGTCTTATAGAAATTGCAACCTCCTCTTTATGTGCTCTATTTGTAACAATTCTTAAGAAAATGATATGCACTTATTTGTGTCATGCCCCTTCTCCTTCAAATTATGGAAGTGATCTCAAAATATTATCCAACATGCAATTGATTTTACCTTTTTCACCTCAATTTTGGAAATTTACAAGAAAGGCTTATTCTCTAATGCTCTTTGGTTATAGTTGTTGCAGTCTTGGCTATCTTCAAGACCACTTGGCACTACAAAGAATTTAAGGTTCAATAACCACAAGATGCCTCAAACCTCAATTATTTCTAGTATTAGTGCTTTTCTCTCTCTCTCTCTCTCTCTCTCTCTCTCTCTCTCTCTCTCTCTCTCTCTCTCTCTCTCTCTCTCTCTCTCTCTCTCTCTCTCTCTCTCACACACACACACACACACACACACACACACACACACACATAGGTAAAGCACAAAGCTTGTGACTAGTTCGTATATCCTGGACTTTACAATCCTTAAAGCATTTAAGGTTCAAACTCATCATCTCAAAGCTCCTCAGATCAGATAAGTTATTTGGATCTCTCTATGTATTTGTGAATTAAATGCAACATTAATGAATCTTCTTTAAACCAAGGCATTTCCTCTTAGGCTAGCATATACAAGAATAATATTGGTGAATGCATTGGTTACTTTGTTGTTAACCTTGGTGTCTAGAACTCCCTTTATGCTGAACTTATGGATATCATTCTTGCCATTGAGAATGTTCATGATAGGAGCTGGAAATCCCTTTAGTTAAAGATTGACTTTAGGATTGCTACATTAGCCTTTAAAACCCTACAAATGGTTCCTTGACATCTTTACAATAGATGGTGCAACAATATTTATATTACACAATCAATGCACTTTAAGATCACTCACACCTTTAGAAAAACCAATCAGTGTACAAATACTCTTCCTAAAATAGAACTCTCGTACTCACTTCACTTAGTAGGACACTCCTCTCTTAGTCATTAGGAAAAAACTTATTTTGAATAAATTAAGAATATATAACTTTAAGTTTTTTTTTAGCTTGTTTGATTTTCATTTTGGTTTCTTAAGGGTTAGGCTAGCCCCCCTTCCTTTTGTATATCCTTTCTTCTTTTTTAATATTCGAAGATTATATAAAAAATAATATATACGTACTTTAATAGTTATTTATTTTTCATTAGTATCATACATTATATTAATTTATTTATTTGTATTTAATTTAACTTTAATATTATTTGATTTAATTTGAGCCACAAATATTTTTATTTTTATATTAAATAAATATTTTTTTTGAGCCACAAATATTTTTATTTTTATATTAAATAAATTTTTTTTTAACTAAAATACGTTCCAACTTCCAAACCACACCATAAATTTCGTGAATTATCAATATCAAAATTCTGTTGATAAATAATAGTTTGACTCTAATATCCTTTTGAACATTTAAATAAAAAACAAAAAATTGTAAAAAAATGTTTTTTTATTTTAAATTTACACAAAAATTTAATTGAAATAAGTTTTCTTTTTATTTATTTTTATTTAAGTATTGTAGACATGATTATTTTTTAATAACATGTCTACAAATACAATCATTCTCTTAGACCTATCCATCCAGCACTATATAGAGCCCCGGGGTACACTAGCTCTGTCTTCATTCATTTGTCGTTGCTTTAACTCAAGACATTTCTCTGAAACCCAAAGCTCTTCCGTTTTCTATTTTTCTTGGTATGTCTCTCTTTTCATTTTTCTTATTTGTCTTGTTTCTTCTCTTAGATTCCATGTTCTATGCTCAAACAACTTCATAATTCATTATACTTCCTTTATCATCATCATCATCAGCATCATCAGGTACTGTGTTTAAGATTGTTGTTGTTTCTGTCTTGCAACCTTTTGAAGTTTTGATTTAATTTCCATTGCTTAGATTAGATCTCAGTATTTTTTGCTTCCTTTCAAAGCTATAGTTTTACTTAATTTTCTGGAATTCTGGATTAAGAAATTTAGTAAAGTATTCAGGTGCGTTTATCAAAGACCTTTTTTTATGAAATTTTTTATGTTACATACCACAAAACCATGTGACTGATGTGTTATGTGAAGTTGTAATTGATTTATGTGCTTTCAGTTTCAGGGATAAAGAAGAACCAGTGAGAACAAATTGCTTGATTCATGGAATTTCAGCAATGTTTTCCTCATGACTTGAAAAGCATTCCCACTTCAGTATCAGAAGCAGAAAACTACAACGGTTGTTTCGACTGCAACATCTGCCTAGACTTTGCGAACGAACCAGTAGTCACGCTTTGCGGCCACCTTTACTGCTGGCCTTGCATCTACAAGTGGCTCCATGTCCAAAGTAATGACTCTCTTGGAGTCGACGAACATCCGCAGTGTCCTGTATGCAAAGATAACATATCACATACAACTGTGATACCGTTGTATGGTCGCGGCGGCCAGAGTGAGAAACCATCATGTTTTAATGATAATTTTGTACCACCGAGACCATCTGCCTCAGGTGCTCAACCTCTTTTAAATTTGGCAACCGCGTCTCAAAGCGATCATCAGCAGCGGCTGCTTCCGTATCGTAATCCTTATCGTGGTCAATATTACCGACAAGAGGATGGTGTTACTTCACAAATGCTCAGTCTTGGTGCTTCTGTGACCTCTCACCAGCATCCCGTGGTTGAGATGGTTTTTTCTGTAGTATTCGGAAGTTCGCGGAATTCTTATCAGACAATGCGGAGTAATGGCCCTAGATTAAGTAGGCAGGAGTTGCATACTGATAAGTTTTTGAATAGAATTTCAAATTTTCTGTTCTGTTGCCTTTTTGTATGTCTTATTGTATTCTAAAACATGGAGTTAAAGTTGATTTAATGAATTATCATCAGCTAAAATAATTTATGTGTTTTTACTTCTTTTTTTTGGGTTGAATGTGTGTTTTTACATTTAGTACACATTGTTAGAATTAATTATGATTTTAGATATTCTAGCGTGATTGATAGTATTCCTAGGCTAACAACTTTTTAGGTTAGTGTTTGTTCATTAAAATCAATGTATTTATTGTAACATTAGGATAAGTAGTGTAATCTAACTTAAGACACGTGAAATTTGATGAATTCTATATGGCATCAGAGTTGGTTCATCTTAGAATTGTTCTGTATTTTTCTTTTTGAATGTATTCTCAGTCCAGTCACTGTTTTGCACACTTTTTTGTTGTGCTATTTCAAATTCAACCATTGTTGTGAAATCTTTCGTCGAGCACAACAATCTGTTTTTTCCTGCTAATGTATTCCCTTCTGCACGCTGCTCTAGTAACCAACTTCCATCATCGACCACCTTAGAGCCCCCTCTGCCACATTCTAAGGTATTTTCATCATTTTAAAGGTGATTTTCAACAAATTTTCTTCTCTAATCACACGTAGATCATCATGTCTGGGACCAGATATGATGTCTCCATTTCTTCCACTTTAAGGTTCACTATGCTCCCTCTGATTCCTTGCGAAAAATTGGTAGGTGGTGCTAATTATGCAGGTTGGGCTGCTGGTGTTGAACTTTGGTTTAAAGGACAAGGTTGCAGTGTTTTAAAACCCAGCCCGACCCGGCTGGTTGGACTGGTCTGACCGAGAACCGATGGGCCAGGCGGTCCGATTAAGGGATAAGACCGGATGAAACCGGTGTGAACCAGCCGGATCACCGGTTAAACCAGTGAACCGACGGTTTTTACTGAACTGGCGGATTCGACTATTTATTTTATTTTTTAGGGTCTTTGAAAAAAAAATTAACATAAACGTTTTGCCTCCTCGTTTCCCAAACTTAGGCATTTGAAAGGTTTTCTTTTTTATTCTGTCTTTTCTTTTTCTAATTGAAGTCATATTCTCAATTTTCTCTACCAACAAAAACTCCCACTTACTGCTGTTATTTGATATTCCTTGTTTGCCGTCAAAAATTTCATCAAAACATCAAATTGAAACATGTAAAAAGGTGTCTCCAGTCATGCTTTGTTTCTGATCACCTCTCCTTGCTCGTTCAATTTGTTTCTGAAAACCCATTTGGTTCCTATAATGTTGAATCCTTTGGGTCTTGGAACTAGATCCCATACATCGTTTCTGGAAAACTGATTGAGTTCCTCTTGCATTGCTAAGATTCAATCATTGTCTTCCAGAGCTTCATCAATAGAAGTTGGCTCAATCAGAGATACCAATCCAAATAATGATTCTTCATTGATTCTGAGAGAGGATCTTGTTCTGATGGGATCTTCTTTTCTCCCAATAATCTCGTCTTCTTTGTGAGCTAAAGAGATTCTAGGAAATCTTTTCTGAGTGGGTTGTTCAGAGATTCTGAGATTGTCCAGAGCATTGTCAAGAGGGTGATCTTCTGAGTCTTCCTTTGCTTATGACTTTTTCTTAGCTTCATATTTTGATCTAATCTTTGATTAACAGTTATGGGACTAAGTCAAACATTCTAACAAAATACAAGATTCCTTTCTATGTTTTTAAGAACTTTGTAGGTATCATTTAAACTCTGGAAGTTTATTTCAAATGAACATTATCCTCAAAAGAACCTGATGAAGAAATCTCAGAAGAAAAATTCCAAAGCTCTGATGAAAATTCTCAGGAAGTTTTTCTTATAGAAATATTTATTTCAGGGGGAGATTCCTATCTCTTATTCAAATTTATTTCTATATCTGAATATATTTTTTTGTCATCATCAAAAAGGGGGAGATTGTTAGAACAAGATTGGTTCTGATCATATCTCAGAGTTTTAATGATAACAATAAATTATATTTTATATATTTGATACTCTGATGAACGTATTTAACTGTTTCAGATAATGTTCTGACAGAAGCATCTCGAAGTGCTGAGCTGAAGATAAATGAAGAAGTTCTTTTATGAAAGAACTATTTGTTTTAAGTGCAAGTTCTAATGCTGATGATGTCTCTGATAATGTTCTGACAGAAGCATCTTGATGAGCTGAGCTGAAAATTAATGAAGATGTTCTTTTGATGAAAGAACCATTTGCTTTAACTCGAGTGCGGATGCTGATGCTGACTCTGGTAATATAATTATTTAATTGCATCTTCTAACGCTTAGCAAGTTTCTGTGTAAGCTATGTTTAAGATGATCTTAGAAAGCAAGTGTTGTTCAGAAGATCTTAGAAAGCAAGTGTTGCTCAGAAGATCTTAGAAAGAAAGTGTTGTTCAGAAGATCTTAGAAAGCAAGTGTTATTTAGAAGATATTTGAAAGCAAGTGTTGTTCAGAAGATATTTGAAAGCAAGCGTTGATCAGAAGTACTTAGCAAGCAAAGCATTGTTTAGAAGATAAGCAAGCAAGTTCTGAATACAAGACGTGAAGCCAAGTTCTGAATGAATATAGAAGCTAACAAGTCTTCTCAAGCTTCAGGAGACATGTTCTTACAAGTGCCATTTTCTCATTAAATGCAAAGACGACTACATGCACTCAAGTGTCTACGCTAGTGCATTGGAAAATGGAATAGTGCAAGGAAACACGCAAACATTTAATATTCTCCATTTGAAGGCAGCAACGGTCATGTTTCTTCTTGCTATATATAGAAGAACATTAATTGTAAGCCAACTACTGAACTACTGCTCAACTGAAACGCTGAAAGATTGAACAACTGAAGTTCTGAATAGAACTTATCAAATTCAAAAGAAGCAAAAGTTACGTGAAAAGATTCTGGGCTCACAAATTCATTATTCATACACTTTGTTCTAAAATATTCTTATTGAAAAATCACAGTTGTGATATAGCTTTCTTAGAAGCAAACTTTGTTTCACTATCTGTAAAGATTTATATCTTGTAATTCTTCCTTGAGAGACCAAGGTTGGTCAGAATTCTCAAGTAGACTAGGACTAGTTTAAGTCTTAGTGGTGTTAGTCACTTGTAAGGTTACTTGTGCATTGTTAGTCACAACAGTTGTTGTGTGATTGTAATCAATTGATTATAGTGGATTAAGTCCTTGTTGAGAAAGGCGAAATCACCTTAGCGGGTGGACTAGAGTAGTTTGAGTTCAAACGAACCAGGATAAAAATAACCTTGTCTTTCCATTATTGTTGTGCCTTTAAGAAAAAGAAAAAGAAAAACTTATTCACCCCCCCCCCTTCTAAGTGTTCTCCACCTTCAGCTTCTGCCTTGCATCGCTGGGCGAAAGGGACCGTCACCGGGCGAAATTTTAAAGACCAATTTTGATGAAGTCTCTGCCTTGTGTCGCATCTGTGTTGCCAGGTGAAAAAAAGAGGAGTCGTCGGGCGATGAATTGTGATCGCCAGGATACAGTAGATATTTGTTTCAGATGAAGACATGGCTTATCCTGGGCCAAGTGTATAGAAGGCGTTCCCAGACGATGTGAGATGTGTCGTCGGGTGACACGTGCAGATCAAAATTTTGTTATATTTTCCTTTTCATTTCATTTGGAGAGTTATGGTTTTAGGGGATGATTTTTGTTCTCCCAATTCAATCAACCTCATTTTTATAGTGGATTAGCTTAGATAACAACACTAGGGCTTGCATACGGAAGATCCGGGTAGATTGCTCGTCGACCGACTCTGACAATCCAGAAGATTTGTGGTTTATCTCTTATCCTCTCTATGTATTTATCTTTTGTTGGGTTTTTTATGTATATTTACTCTGGACATATGTATATTTTTCTCCCATGGCGTTATATTAAACTTGTTTTACAAATCTTTGTGGATGGTTGTCTTAGATTTTTGCTCTGTGCTAGGGATTTGACTTGTTATAGACATATACTGCTTAGATTCTTATCTAGGATGATCATCTGTTAGTTTCTGAACTTTAGAGATAGATTTAGAGCTGACATCTACTTGGGTATCAGAGCTTAATGCCTCTATGTGGTTGTGATGTGGTGAGAGATTGTTTGTGTGATTGCATAGTTGTCTTCTGTGTTGTTGAGGAGGTAGAGAGATCATTTCCTTGGTGATACAGCCGTTCTTTCAATTTGGGTTAGAAATGACTTAGGTTGTGAGTGATACATATTGACATTGATGAGTATTGTTAGGTTGAATGTAACTGGTCGATAGATTTAAGCCTGTGATGAGTAGATTATATGCAGGCTTGATAAGTTCTTCCTTAGTTTTTTTACTTTTGTTTACATTTGTTTTCTGTTGATACTTTTCTTTTCTATACCATTTAAACCTCAAACTCATTAACGAGAGTATTGCCAAATGACGACTCAATAACCGATCTCTGTGGATATGATATGATATAACCTATATCACCCGGTAAATTAATAATTTACTTTTTGCTTGCCGCGTTTACCGCTCCAACAAAATGGCACCGCCAGAGATTGGTTCTATTGTCTTCGCATTGCAATAATTCTTTTGTTTTTGAGTTTTTTAATTAATGTATAAGTTGTATAGAATATGTAGATAAACTTGTCTATTTTTACTTGTACATGTTTTGGGTTTACTTTCCAAACTTATGCATATATGTGTTTTTCTTTATTTTCACGTATTGTTGTGAATTGTTTTGTTTTCGTAACGTTTGTTGTATGGATGTTAGGACACTTTCTTTAGGTTTGCGCGATGTGACAATACCATGACATGACGAGGGGAGGTTACTAGCTCGCAAAATAAAGGCGTCGAGCTTACGATGTAAACCAAGCATGTTTTGTTTGTATTCGTTTTTGTTATATGTGACTTGTGTTTTAACAAGTTGAAATTGGACTTGTTTTAAATTTTCAAAATTTCACTTTTTAACTTGTTAATTCATTTTTATTCGGTTTTCATATCGTTATTTGTATTGGTTTTGTTATGTCAATCTGTGTTTTCCGAAAGCTTGGTGTGTTTAGTTAGAGGAGTTTTCTTCGTTGTAAAT